CCCCCCCCCCAGGGGGGGATGGCCACACTGCAATCCTTTCTCCTCCATTCTCCTCCCAGGATTTTGGGCACGTGCGCACACGTGCCCAGTGTGAGTTTTAAGCCACCGGGTCCGGGACGCGAACTGCAGTCGACTACATGGGAGTCCAGCGACATAGCCATTACGCTAACTGCTGGTCCCAAGATTTAGAAAAAGTTTTGAAACTCACCAGTTTAAAACTCTTTGGCAATGAAATTAAACTAGAGAAACCAAAAGGAAAAGACAATAAGAATGATTGAGATGCAAGGACACTTTTGGTCGAAAATCTTTCCTATGAAGCTGTTCAGGATGAATTAAAAGAAGTGTTTGAAAATGCCATGGAGATCAGAATAATCAGCAAAGATGGAAAAAGTAAAGGGATTGTTTATATTGAATTTAAGAAAAGCTGATGCAGAGAAAACCTTTCAAGAAAAGCAGAGAACAGAGATTGATGGGCGGTCCAATTCCCTATACTACACTGGAGAAAAAGGTCAAAATCAAAAAAGACTATAGAGGACCAGTAGTTAGCGTAATGGCTATGTCACTGAACTCCCATGTAGTGGACCGCAGTTCGAGTCCCGGACCCGGTGGCTTAAACTCACACTGGGCTCTTGTGCGTGAGTGCCTAAGATCCCCAGAAGAGAATGGAGGAGAAGGGATTACAGCATGGCCATCCCCCCTGGGGGGTGATTTCTTGCTTTCTGTCTCTCTGTCTCTCTCTGTCTTTCTGGCAAGCGCATGTGCCCTATAGCAAAAACCTCTCAAAAACAAAAAACAACAAAATCAAAAAACTACAGAGGTGGAAAGAATAGCACTTGGGGTGGTGAATCAAAACTCTGGTTTTGAGCAACCTCTCCAACAATGCAACTAAAGAAACACTTCAGGAAATATTTGAGAAGGCAACTTTCATCAAAGTGCCTCAGAATCAAAATGACAAATCTAAAGGGTATGCATTTATAGAATTTGCTTCATTCTATCACCAGAGATATTTCAACTGCAGACCAGAAAGTTCATTGGGCAGCCACTGCCATCCCCACTCCACCAGCTAAAGATTCTTGGAGTGCAGTATCTAGAAATCTCAACTAGCTGCTTTCTGCTCTCAAAAAATGGAGTTTCTAACAACTGATTTTGTTGTCCTTTATTTTCGTAGATATTTCCCTCACTGAAGGTCTATGGCTCATACCACTCAACAGATTTGCTGTCCTCCCAAGTCCCAGCTGATAATTTGGCTGGTCTTTAGTGAGCAAAGACTGACTGAGAAAATGGGCTTAAATTGTTCAAAAGAAAGAACGTTTCTTCCTTCCTACAACAAGAAAGGGACTGACAAAATTTTTTTTTTTTACTTGACCAGACTTTGGTCAGGCTCCTGAACCTTCTCTAAGACCCACCCACACTTCCTTATAAAATTTAGTTTTAGCAAAGAACCCTGCCTAGTCGAATTAGCAAGGACACCACCCCCCTCCACCATCACCCTGGCCTGTCTTCAGCAAGAACCCTGTTAGGATGGTTTAGCCAGAATCCCCCAACCCCTGATGTTTTTTTCCCCATAGTAATTTCCCATCCACTGGCCACACCTGCTCCCTGACTATCAATTCCCACTTGCCCATGTTGTGTTCCTGATTGAGCCCGGTCTCTCTTGCCTCCCCTACAAGGCCCCACTGAGGTGGTTCCTGTGGTTATCATGATGGTACTAAATAATCTGCTTTACCAAGCTTTAGCGAGTATCACTGATTTTTTTTTTTCTTTTCCTTCTTCTGCCTTTCTTTTTCTTTTGTCCTTATCTTTTTCTTTTTCTTCTTCTTCTTTGTCTTCTCTTTTTGCTAAAGGACATGACTATTCACGAGAGAGAAAGAGAGAGAGAGATGAAGGGAGAGGGGAAAGCACCCTCCGTGGGGCATGGTCACACTGCAGTCCCTTCCTGCCATCTCTCCCTGCTGTTTGGATTTGGGGCATGCACACACATGCCTCCATGTGTTTCTCGAGCCACCAGAGTCAGGACTCGAACCATGAGGTCTACCAGGCAGAATCTGGCAGCCTTAACCACCAGGCTACAGAACCAGCCCTGACTTATTCTCTTTAACAATATTTCTATCCAGATAAAGTTTCTTCCTCCTGAGAACCCCCACAGTCCTTCTCATCTCCTGTGGCACTTGGTGAAACATCTCCTGTCCCTAATGTGCACGGTTAAGGCAGCGATGGGCCTCTTCACTGTTACATCTCCTTATTGGCTCAGGCCACTAGTGTCCCTGGAATGGGTACAGGAACACTGTGATTATCTCATCCATTTTCTATTTTCAGAGGTTTTTGCCTTAGGGCGTGTGCACCCTCTGGTGAGAGAGAGAGAGAGACAGAGACAGTGAGAGGGAAAGTGAGAAATCACTCCCCAGGGGAATGGCCATGCCACAATCTTTTCTCCTCCTGGGATCTTGGGAATGCACCTCACACACTTGGTGTAATTTTCAAGCCAGCAGGTCCAGGATTCAAACCATGATCAGCCATGTGGGAGTCCAGCGACATAACTGCTATGCCAACTCCTGGCCATCCATTTTCTTTTTCTTTTCTTTTCTTCTTTTTTAAGAGAGAGAGAGTTTTGCTACAGGATGTGTGTACTCAATAGAGAGACAGAAAGTGAGAATTCTCCTCCCCCCTGGGGGATGGTCACATTGCAATCCCTTCTCCTCTATTCTCCTCTTGGGATTTTGGGCACACACACACATGCACTCTGCATGAATTTAAGCCTCCATGACCAGCACTCAAACCACGGTCGACTACATAGGAGTCCAATGATGTAACCATTATGCCATCTGCTGGTCCCTTATTTTTAAATACATCATTTTTAGATAATTGTAAGTGCTGAGAAGAAAAAGTTATGTCCCATGTGTGGAAATCCCCCTCACCCACTTGGTGAATTTTTCAAGCCAGCAGGTCCAGGATTCAAACCATGATCAGCCATGTGGGAGTCCAGCGACATAACTGCTATGCCAACTCCTGGCCATCCATTTTCTTTTTCTTTTCTTTTCTTCTTTTTTAAGAGAGAGAGAGTTTTGCTACAGGATGTGTGTACTCAATAGAGAGACAGAAAGTGAGAATTCTCCTCCCCCCTGGGGGATGGTCACATTGCAATCCCTTCTCCTCTATTCTCCTCTTGGGATTTTGGGCACACACACACATGCACTCTGCATGAATTTAAGCCTCCATGACCAGCACTCAAACCACGGTCGACTACATAGGAGTCCAATGATGTAACCATTATGCCATCTGCTGGTCCCTTATTTTTAAATACATCATTTTTAGATAATTGTAAGTGCTGAGAAGAAAAAGTTATGTCCCATGTGTGGAATGAAAAGCTGTGGGAATTAGAGGGACCCGGGGGTGGGAAATGTACATTGTTGGTCTGCTAGGCTTAAGCTTCTCATTGGTCATAAGAGCTCACTAAATATCAGCTGAAGGGGGACTAGGATGCACTGCCAGCCCTGGCTCCCTGGCTGCAGGGGCAGAGGGAGAGTCCTCTCTGGCATCCCGGCAACGCTGCTGGCCCATCTTTGCTGATCAATTAAGTGTTTGCAAATGAACACAGAGCCAGCCTTTCAGGAAGTGGAGGTAAATAACAAATGCATTATTTTTGAGAGGTTGGTACTTAAAAAGCCTGGTAGAAGAAAGATCACCAGCTGGGATAACATTGTGGAATTGGGGCTCTCCTTCTACTAGGGTTATGTAAACAGATATTCTTAGTGACATTAATGTATTTTAAGACATCCATGTTTACAAAAGAATCAAGAGTGATACTAAAAGGAAATAAAATTAGAGTGGAGAAGAAGGAAGAAGGGTCCTTTCTACAGAAGGATGCCAGATAAATGCAGGAGGAGATGCTGGAACTACCGGGCGAAGGCTTTAGGGAACAGGGTATTTATGCCAGAATCTCCCATTCCCTGATGTCTCCTTCCCTTTAGCAACCTCCCATTCACTCACGCCGCCCCCACTCCTTGGCTGTCAATTGCCACTTGGGAATAAATTCACCCCACACACGACCTATGACATCTGAAGGGGACCAGACATTTTCTAATGGAGAGAGACGACAGACTGCAGCCTCA